TGGTATCAGAAGCATATGGACAACAGTTCAGAAATGTAAGAAAGGAACAAGGTGAGAATTATATTGAGTTTAAAAGAATTACACAGAGAAACATCGCTACATGGATGAGAACATCAAAGATAGAAAAGACACGATTATTCTGCTGGAAGAATTTAAAACCTCACTCCCAGAAGTGATAAGAACTCATGTTGAGGAACAGAAACTTAAAACAACGAGAAGAGCTGCAGAGATGGCGGATGAATGCACAAATGTGCATAATTCGAAATCTACCTTCCAACTGCAATTTCATTCCGTGAGGGATAGAAATTGGGAAAGAGAGAGATCCTTTAATGAAAAACAAAAAGTAGATCACACTGGGAACAGTTTTCCATACGTGAAAAATGAAATCCAAGATCTCAGGTATTTTCCTGCAATAAGGTGGGACACACACAGTCACAGTACTGGTGGTTTAAGAGGCACTGGAAAAAAGGATGTGGGTAAAAGAGGCTAAACTAGTGGGATTAGTTGAGGGTATGAAGGAAATGCCAACAGAAGTCGAGGTGCTGCAGGACGGTGCACAGCCTAGTCACAGGCAGGACAGTAAGATAGCGCCAATCTTTTCAAAGATTCCACCTATATGGGTAAGATTTACTCAGGTAGGACGGGGGAATAGGTAAACAAGTTAAAATATTAAATGAAACAGGAGCTAGTCTGGCTCCAATAGTAAGAGATGAAAATATTTGCACTCCTTCTGAAATACTGCCAAGAGAGTGATAATCTTTGGAATAAATGGACACAGGACTAGTGTTCGTGTATGTAAGGTAATGCTAGAAAGTCCAATCAAGCCTGGAGAAATGATAGTGGGAGTGATTGAAAAATTGGTTATCCAAGAATAAACTGTATTCCTGGAAAACGATATAACCTGATCACAGGTGGGACTGATGCCCATTTATAGTGGAAAAGCTAAAAGAAAACCAGGGAACTGAGGAATTAAAAGAAAAATATCCTGGAATTTTTCCGGACTGTGTGGTGACAAGATTCCACAGCCATAAGTTAAAACAAGAAGGGAAAGCAAAAGAGAAAGACAAAGGAATTGAGATCCACTTAGCTGACATCCTGTTTAAAAAACCTAAGCGGGTAGAGGATCAGGCAAAGAAGTATTTCGTTCTGAAAGATTAATGGAGCTACAACAAAAAGATGAGATGATAAAGGATTTATAGGATAAAGGATAAAGCCTACTTGAAAAAGGAATCAGAGTGTATTCCAGAATGCTATTACCTTAAGGGTAAAATCTTAAGGCGGAAATGGACCTCAGCAGGTTAGCGCAGATGAGAAACGGGCGGAAGTTCACCAGACTGTGCTGCCGGTAGAATAGACACAGGAAGTATTACAGGTAGCACACAAGTTACCATAGGAAGTCATCTAGGAGTGAGGAAGACTCAGGCTAAAATACAGAAGTATTTTTATTGGCCTGGATTATATAAAGATGTATGGCAAAATTCAACCACACCTGTCATACATGTCAGATGGTAGGAAAGGCACAAGCAGTGATAAAGCCAGCACCTTTGATGTCAGTTCCTGCATTTGAAGAACCTTTTTACACAGGTTATAAGTGATTGTGTAGGCCCCCTCTTGAAAACCAAAAGTGGGAACCAGTATTTGCTAACCATAATGGATGCATCTACCAAGTTTCCAGAGGCAATTCCATTATGGAATGTCAAGGCAAAAAAGGCTGTAGAGGAGTCGCTTGGTTTCTTTACCCATTGTGGACTACCCAGGGAGATTCAGTCGGACCATGGGTCCAATTTTACTGTGAAATTATTTAAAGAGGTCATGGATAGTTTAGGCAAACACTTTAAATCAAGTGCATATCACCCTGAATCCCAGAGAGCACTGGAAAGGTAGCATCAGTCGCTAAAAACCATGCTGAGGGCTTATTGCCAGGACTACCTAAATGATTGGGATAAAGATATCCCATTTATACTATTTGCTATTAGAGACGCTCCAAATGAATTGACTCAGTTTACTCCATTTAAATTGATACTCAGACGCGAAGAAAGAGGGCCTTTAAAATTAATTAAGGAAAAGTTGATAGGTCCAAAGTCAGAGATCTCATGGTTGGATATCAGAGAAAGATTAAACAGAGTAGGTGAATTAGCTAGACAACACCTAAAAGTGGCACAGCACCTAATGAAGCAAGAAGCAGATAAGAAATCTAAAATTCATATGTTTGCCCATGGGTGTAAAGTATTGGTGCCGTTACCAGTGGTAGGAGATCCCTTCAAAGCAAGGTTTAGTAGTCCCTATCAGATTGAGAAATTGTTAAGTCGTTAAGTCAGGTGAATTTCCAGCAACTTTGTTTTTGCTCCTGATTTACAGTATCCGCAGTTCTTTCGGTTTTTATTCACCCAATTCCAAGGCTGGAAAAAGTAGGATAAGGCACTTACATAACAAAGTTGGACTTGATTCGTGGTTACTGACAAGTCCCTTTGTCGGAGAGAGCAAAAGAAATTTCTGCTGTTGTAACCCCAAATGGGCTATATCAATTTAAAGTAATGCTCTTTGGAACGAAAAACACACCAGCCACTTTTACAGTTATTGCAGGATTGACTATTTGTGCCGTCTACATAGGCGATCCTTAGCCATTCGTGAAAAGATCACATGGAGCATTTGACAGAGCTGTTTGAGAGACTATAGAAGACAAAGTTGGTCCTTAACTTGGCAAAAACAGAATTTGTGAAGGCGGAAGTGACATTCTTACAGCACAACATTGGGTATGGACAGATGACACTGAGGAACGTGAAGACGAAGGCCACCAAGGAATTTCCAAGACCATCCTTGAAAAAGGAAGTGGTACAATTTTTAGGATTGAGTGGATTCTACAGGAAATTTGTACTAAATTTATTAGCTAGTGGCACCATTGAAGGATTTGTTAAAAAAGAACACAAACTTTTGGTGAACAGAACAAGGCCAGGAAACATTTGAGGATTTAAAAGCAGCATTAACCACCACACGTGTTTTAGCCATGCCAAATTTTTTGAAACCCTTCAAAGTCGCCGTTGATGTATGTGTTGGAGCTGTGTTGTTACTGGAGGATGATTGAGGAATTGAAAGGCCAATCGGTTATTTTTCAAAAAAACTCAATACCCACCAGAAAAAGTATTCAACCATTGATAACGAATTATTGAGTTTGGTAATGGCCTTACAACATTTTAATGCTTACGTTGTAAACAATGCATCAGACTATTGTGTTTCGGTTTTAGTTCTCAGAGGGGGGTCAACCTCCACTTTATAACACTATGGTGCAGCTATAAAACTGGTAAGAGTCCTTGTAGACATGCTGAATTTCATTAGCCTCCTGAAGTAGTAGGGACATTGCTTTCTTGACTGTTGCGTTGATGTGGTGGACCGGGATGAATTGTTGGTGATCATTACTCCCAGGAACTACCTAATGGGACAGACTTCAGATGGGTCTTGCAATCCAAAATTAGGCATCTGCGAGGTCATGAGGGCTGTCAGTCATAGCAGAATTGTATTCAACTACAATCTGTAACATCAGGGCCTGGCTTAGCAGCCAAAGATCCACCTGTGTTCAATGACAAATGCAGGAGTGCATTACAGAAATGCACCAGGTACATCAAAAAAACGAGGTCTCAAGTTGGTGAAGCTAAAAGTCAGGATGACTTGCCCACCAAACAACAGAAATAGCATGCAATAGACAGGGTTAAGCGATCCTACAACCGCAGCCCTGCCACATCCAATCATGAATAGTGGTCGGCAATTAAGAGATCGGCCATGATCCTACTGAATGGTGAAGCAGGCTCAAGGGGCAGAAAGCTCTACTCCTGTTCTTATTTTTTGTTGTCTTATGCTCTCATAGGAGATGTAGCTTCTACAAATATTCTCATAGTCAACCACTGGAGAGCCCACATTAGTGCAAAAAAAAAGTAGCATCTACACCAATCTTCAGTCAGAAAAATCAAGTTTATTTTTATCCAACCCAGCAACATCCTGCTACAGCCTGAGTATTTTTATGGCTGGTTCACTTCAGCATCCAGTCAATGGTGACCACAAGGATGTTGATTGAAGGAGATTCAGCGATTGGAAATGCCATTGAATGTTAATGATGATGGTCATTGCCTGTCACTTCTATGACATGAATGCTATTTGCAGTTTCCTCTTGACCCCAGCATCAGAAATGGGGACATTTGCTGATGTTTGCATAATGTTCAGTGCCGTTCATGAGTCCTCCGTTTCCTCTGAAACCAGTCTGTGATCACAAGTATCAAGTCCTGCTAAGCTGCAAATAGCTACTTATGAAATGAACCAGCCATAAAAATACTTAGGCTTTAAAAATAGGTTATAGCCAAAGATTCGGTGGCAGGTAACTCACCTCTCATTTCCCCAAAGCCTGTCCACCATCAAAAAGCACAGTAAGAGGTGTGATGAAATACTCTCCACTTTCCTAGATGAGTACAATTACAAAACTCAAGAAGTCTGACACCACCCAGAACAAAGCAGCCCCTTGACTGACACCCCATCCAAGACCTTCAAAATTCGCTCTCTCCACTACCAGTGCACAGAAACAGTGTACCACTATAAGATATACAGTGGTAAATTACCAAGGCTGCTCCAATAGCACCTCCCCAAATTTACTGCCTCTCCTCTCTGAAGGACAACAGGTGCATGGGCACACCACCATCTGCAAATTCCCCTCTAAGCCACAAACCGCATTTATTCAAACCATATCAGTGTGCCTTCACCGCTGACGAGTCAAAATCCTGGAATTTCCTTCTTAGTTGCATGTTGCTATACTGAAGGACTGCAGCAGTTCAAGAAAGCAGCTCACCACCACCTCTCCAGGGCAATCCTTTAGGGATAAATGCTGGTCTGGCCAGCAAAGTCCACATCCCATGAATGAATATATAAAAATGTTGGAAAGTACAGACTACACACAGTGTGAAGTAACTTTTATATAGTATCTGCGTAAAGCAGAGTAGTACAAGTTTTGCACTTCTTACCTCATTCATTTTGCCATCATCTGGTGCTTGGGCATCCTTTGTTTGTTTGATGTTCTCCACCATTTTTCTTATAAAAGCATGACTATTATTTTCATTTTTTGTCATTAAAACTTCCAACATGAACCACAGGCACCTTATCAAATATAATTTTAAAAAAGCATTAGCTACTTTAAAACAAAAAACAAAACATAGGAGAATGCTGTGATTGGCACCTTACACTGAAGGGAAACTACTTTAAAATAGTTGTCAAGGTCAAATTTTTGCAGTTTAGTTTTACTTACTCTTTGATGTCACGCAGCTGCTCAATATCCTGAGTTTTCGTAAAATCTGGGTCATGAGCAAGCAAATGAACTGTGTATGGAACTACATATTCTGGCAATAGAGATAACAGCTTCTCTAAAGAAAATAAAAAGAATGTTTAAAAAGATTTTCCTGAAAGGTTGCAAGTGCGTAATACATACACGTCAGTTTGAAAAGTGGTAAGAACTGACAAGCAATTTCAAACAGCCTTACACTAACAAAATCAAATAGGTAGTGCATAAAGTTATGTTATTGCTTAAATTGAATTTTACTCAACATTTAATTAGTTATTACAGAGGGAAAACCCAAAATACACAAATAGCAGTTTTTATCAGTAGCTATTTTTCAAAATTATTTATGAGTGCATATATTAGGTACAGCAGCAGGTCCTTCAGCCACTGAAGCCTGGTCTGGCACGGAATTAAATGGCTGCACCTCAACACCATTTATCCACCAATGCTCCTTACTTTTAGGCAACAGAAATCTCAGTTTCAAAAGTCTCAATTGATGTAGCATTCAGTATATTGGAAAGAATGTTTCAGATTTCCACTATCCAAGTGAAAAAATGGCTGCGTTTTGGTCTCTCATAATCTTACAAATTAGACATTGGTTATGTATTTTCGTAAAGGAAAATGTTTCTTCGTCCCTACATTTCCAACTCCTTTTAATACTTTCAACCTTCCAACCAGATCTTCCCTCAATATTTATCTTCAAAGAAATGAAGAATTTACGACTGACAAGAATTCCATCCTTATTTTTGAGATGGATATATGGGCTGGCAACCAAGAAAGTGGAATGTTGGTAAATGTGAGGTTATCCACTTTGGTAGCGAAAACAGGAATGCAGATTACATGAATGGTGATAGACTGGCCAAGGGGAGACAGGAGCATATCTGCGTATCAGTCACTGAAAGGTGTCTTCTGGATGCAGCAGGTAGTGAAGGCAGCAAATGGTATGTTGGCCTTGTTGCAAAGGTACAGGACATTGGTGAGACCACACCTGGAATAGTGAGTGCAGTTTTGGTTTCCTTATCTGAGGAAGATTGTCCTGGCTATGAAAGGAATACAACATAGGTTTACTAGACGGATTCCTGGAATGCCAGGACTGATGTATGAAGAGAGACTGGATTTGTTAAGACTATATTCACTGAAGTTTAGAAGATTGATTTTTTTTTGGGGGGAGGGTGGCATCTCATAGAAACCTATAAAATTCTAACAGGACTAGATAGGAGTAAATGTAGGAAGGATGTTTCTGATGACAGGGAGTCGAGAATCTGGTCATGTCTAAAGATATAGGGTAGGTGATATAGCATAAACATGAGGAGAAATGTCTTCACTGAGAGAGTGATAAACTCTGTGGAATTCTCTGCCACAGAAAGTGGTTGAGGTCAAAACATTGAATGTTTTCAAGGAGTTAGACGGAGCTAGTGCTTAGGGCTAAAGAGAACAAAAGGAATGGGGAAAATGTAGGAAGAGGTTACTGAGTTGGATGATCAGCCATGATCATTTGAATCATGGAGATTTGAAGGGCCAAATGGTCTACACCTGCTCCTATTTTCTATGCTTCCACGTTAATTAACTTTTACAAAAATTTAGTGTACTTTTACAATAATTTTGACTTTTAGTTGTTCCTGCTGCAAGGTAAATGAAGAAGCTGCAGTGCATGGAGGGTGGGGGAGAAGCTCACACCTGAGAATCGCAATAGGCTAAGTGACTAGTAAAAACAAACAATAGGGCAGGTTGGTTTAACTGCTTTAAGAGGAACAGAACAACCTCTTCTTTTCTTACAGGCATGCTTAGGCATCCGGGGTGAAGTCCAAAGCATTGGTGCTGACTTGCTCAAGGGAAATTCAAATCTGCAAAATTAGTACTTGATAGGTTGCAAATTAATGAGGGGTGAGGTTGATGTCAGGGTTCAAACTACTGGAAAGGGGAAAGCTGAAAGTGGCATGGCTGAGTGAGAGAGGGCAGAGTAAAGTTAAACAGTAGGATGCAAGGGCAGCAACCAAGCAAAATATCAGAATTGACAAAAACAGAACCCGGTGTGATTAGCACATCAATGATTTGGCAAAACTGATGACAGACTTAAGCTAAGCACAGGAGGACAGAATTTCAATCACCCAGCTGAGCAAGTAGTTACAGTGGGGGGGGTCAAATCCACTTGTAGAGATGTGGAAGAGAAGCTGAAATAGTCAGGAGTCCCTGAAAGAAAGGGAACAATTCTTGAAGCACGAGAGGAAAGTAGTTGATCCAGGAGCTATGAAAGGGGCACGAAATTGTTTGAGGTACTGTTGGAGATTGAAACCAGGAGCATTTTTAAAGAAAGATATTATTTCATTGGAAGCTGTTCAGACAAAGTTCATTAGGATGATAGAGATAACAAGGCGTAGAGCTGGATGAACACAGCAGGCCAAGCAGCATCAGAGGAGCAGGAAGACTGACGTTTCGGGCCGAGACCCTTCTTCAGAAATGGGGGAGGGGAAGGGGGTTCTGAAATAAATAGGGAGAGAGGGGGAGACGGATAGAAGATGGACAGAGGAGAAGATAGGTGGAGAGGAGACAGACAGGTCAAAGAGGCGGGGATGGAGCCAGTAAAGGTGAGTATAGGTGGGGAGTTAGGGAGGGCATAGGTCAGTCCAGGGAGGACGGACAGGTCAAGGGCTGAGGCTAGTAGGTAGGAGGTGGGGGTGGGAGGAGGGATAGGTTAGAAAGGCGGGGACAAGCTGGGCTGGGTTTGGGATGCGGTAGGGGGAGGGGAGATTTCGAAGCTTGTGAAGTCTACATTGATACCATTGGGCTGCAGGGTTCCTAAGCGAAATATGGGGTGCTGTTCCTGCAACCTTCGGGTGGCATCGTTGTGGCACTGCAGGAGGCCTAGGATGGACATGTTGTCTGAGGAATGGGAGGGGGAGTTGAAATGGTTCGCGACTGGGAGGTGCAGTTGTTTAGTGCGAACTGAGCGTAGGTGTTCCGCAAAGCGGTCCCCAAGCCTCCGCTTGGTTTCCC